GGAAACGCGCGGTTTTCGGAGGCTCCAGCGGGATCCCCCGTTAGGTGTATAGCAAAGCTGGAGAGAAAGCGCAAAACAGAGCTGTAGTCGGCAAAAACATGCAGGCCAGTGCAGAAAGCTATTCCATGGGTTCCTTCTAGTGTGCTTGCAAGCTGAGGGGTTGCCCCCTGGGAAGTAACAAAGAAAAGGCCCCTCAGGTCTTCACAAAGTTCGCTGCTTTCCTCTCCTTGCGTCCGGTTCTCATTCTCCCGGCTGTCGTTGTTCACGGCGGATTTCCCGGTATTGTGCCTTGAGTGCCTGTCTGTAGGCTTTCCACTTTGCAGCATCCGTCGTCCAGACCAAAGGGAGCTCGTCCTTGGTCCTCGCGTTGTAGAAGGAGCTGGTGGAGACGGGTACGTTGTTGGCAGTCAAAGCTGGAGGTTCGCTAGGAGGTGTAAGGGGAGCGATGTTGGCGTCGTTGGTGTCGTTGTGGGCTCCGTCCTCGGGAACGTCCTCGTCTGCATCTTCATCAAAACTTTGGCCATGGGCCTCCCCTGGTTCAGAGTTCACGTATGTCCGGGAACAGGAGGGCGACGTCATCGAAGATGTCAACCAGTGAGTGTGGGCCCCTGTTCTCCATCACCCCGACGTCTTCGTCGCTGGCACCTTCTGGGGCCGCGGCACTCGCAGCATCAGGGGCACGCCGCTAGTGTATCCTTCATTGGTAGTTGCTCTGGTGCGCAGGTGGCCCTCGCAGGCTCAGTCTGGTAGGAGCCCGTTGTTGTCAAAGGGCATGATCGTGGGACGTGGTTGGCACAGTGGGGGGTGCTTCCCCCATTGGCTCTCTCGGCAAAGCGCGAGCAGCTCCAGTGATTCCACGCAAAGCCCCGGTCTGCGTGAGGTAGGCGCCGTAGGCATCACCGTGGAGGGTTTTCCTGCTGAATGGGCATGATACGGCTCGCCGTGGTCGCCCGGCACCGTGAGTGGCTCGCACCGGGGTTGGCCCCTGTGAGGATGAAGCCGCCTCGGTGTTCTCCGGCTTCTCAGGCTTGCTTTGACTGGTGGGGTAGCCGAAGATTCCCGGCAGCGTGTCGAGCAAGGGGTCCTCTGGGTCCATATCATCGAAGATGGTAGGCCTCTTGTTGTCTGCGTTGTTGGCGTCATCTTTGTCCACTTTGGTGCGGCTGGCCTGGGTTTCTTCCTTGAGGCGGGGGGACGGGGAGCGGGGAGGCTGCGGGCTCGTTTTGCAACTCCATCTGCATCTCGCGAAGGGTGTCCTGCCTTACGTGCCTTAGTTCTTGTGACAGCATGTGTTCTTTGACTCCCGGGGCTGTTCTCCTGCCAGTGCTGTAAAGTGCACAGTTGGGTGTGTGGGCACCGTGAAAGGAAGGTCCCCGAACACAGCGTTCGCAAAGAGAGCCGCCGTCCTGCATCTGCTGTTGTTGCCCACCATCTGGGTCCAAAAGGGGTTGTCCCCTGGCCTGGCGATCCTTGGGTCTCAATCGCCCTGGCGCGTAGGAAAGCCTGAATGTCAGCGGGCTCAGTGGCGAGGCACCCGTGCAACTAGCATTCCAGGTCACCTCGTTTGTGTCCTCTATGAAACGACGGCCCATTACGGCAGCGATTTGGGAGGCCTGGGGTCCTCCCCCGTTTTACTCATCTCCACCAGGAAGTTTTTATTCGCAGTGTTCCCGAGATAGCTCTCGATCACGACCGAGTGCTAATCCCTTTTCCAGGTAATTACTCCGCCGGCAGAATCGGCTGGGCGAGGTAGTGCTGGCGAAGGCCGCCGATGGCAGTCAAGCAGTTGTGGGCAAAGTTCTAAAGCAGCAGGGCAGCTCGGTTGCCAGCACTGAGTAGAAGCTGCCGATATGGCTGGACACAAACCTCGGCTGGAAGAGGGCGATCTTGCCGTACACCCGGTCCCGCAATGCGTCAGCTGGCAAGGAAAGAGCAAGAGCGGAGTTTCCTGAGGTCAAACCCTCCTTCTCTCTCTCTCTCTTTCTCTCTTCTTCTTCTTCTTCGTCTTCTTCTTCTACTCAGTCAAAGGAGAGGTGTGCACTCTCTCTCTCTCTCTCTTCCTTTAACTGCTCGTCTTGACGAAGGAGATGCCAGCGCCTGCCATGAAATACTCGGACCCAGCCTGGGCAAATGGAGGAGAGCTTAGCCGAAGCCGCTGCTACGAACTGCAACAAAGCACCGCCATTTACGCCCTGAACTTGAACTCGAATCCTCTGAGGCTCGACCGACGACCCAGCACTGCAGCGGCGCAGAATGACCTTCAGGATGAGTCGCTCCCATCCTCTCTAGCGTATCCGGCACTCAAACAAGCGTCTCAAGTCACGCTTGAAGTCTTTCTACTGATGCCTTGAAGCTCTTAGAGTGTCTTCTTGCTCCCGTATCTTAACAGGCCATGCTGTTACATAGAAGTACAGTCGGATGCCAGCCCCCACATCCCCCAAGGCCCCCAAGCATTCCAAGCTCCAGGCAAGGCCAAAAGGTGCCGGGACAATGCAAAGGCACCCGGGCCTCAGGCTGGGGTACAGTAGATTTTTACCATGATTCTATGATGATGCTATTGCTCTGATTCTTATTGCATCCAAATGAGCACAACGGTGCTTCGATCAAAGCCCCGGTGCTTGAGGTGAGGACGCTTTGATTCTGACTGCTTTGGCCACTGCACCCGCGGCGCCCATGGCCATAGCCTCGTGGCCTTCCAGTATTGTAGCATCAACAGCTTAGATTCTTTCGCCTGCTGCGCAGTTGCTGGGTGCATTGTGCGCTGTGTCTCAATGCTGCGAGCACTCTTCCACATCGCAGGCCAAATCAAGACATGAACTGGCATGCCCTTGCCAGCCTGCTGCATCCTCCGGCGTCGCCCTGCTATGGCTCTGATAGTCCAAGATGCAAAAACTAAGGTGTCCTGCTCCTCGCTTCCAAACGTTCGCCAGTGCTGCATTGGAGCAGGTGAGCTTGAAGATGTCGATCCACCGGAAAGCAGCTGGCTCAATTGAGCTCCTGTGTATGCAGACTCGTCGCATCTTGCTTGTGTGGTTCACAGCACACATAATGAGTTCTCACAATGCAAGTAGCTTGTGCAATCGTTTCACCTTCTCGCAGGGCGTCCAATGCCGCGGCCACCAGTGTGGAGCCTTTGCTTTCCGGCGAGGCCTCCACATGTCAACGTGCACATTCGACGAAATCGAATGCTCACTTAGCATAGCACCGGTGGCAGAGAGTCGTACACTTCATATTCATTATACTCATGATCATTGCCATGTCGTGTCCTGCTTGCTGTGGGACTCCCAAGAATGGCAAGTTCGGCCACGCCTTATTCGGTGCCAGCACATTGGCTTGGGAGCTCCCCACACAGCGATGGTTGTTTTCTTGGGTGTGTATTCGGTGCCAGCACATTGGCTTGGGAGCTCCCCACACAGCGATGGTTGTTTTCTTGGGTGTATATTATGTACAGTTGTTTTGAAGCGAAGTTCCCCAATTTCATGTCGTAGATTCCTCCGACCGAGCTATCTGAGCCCTGTGCAGTTAGTAGTATCGGGCAGCTCTGCCTGAGCAGCTGAAGTACTCAGCAACCCATCACCACCATCACAACTGCACTCCTACCGTGGTCCGGCTTGCTGCTCTAGCCTCTGGTACTTACGAGATAACATTCGTCGCCATCATCGCCTTTAGCAGTGCGGCATCCTCACTTCTACTCTTCCTCTTTCTCCTCCTCTTCCTTATATCCTCATCCCTCATCCCTCATCGCCGCCAGCGCCTTCTTCTCCTCATTTTCCTGCTGTGTTTGCGTTGAGGTGTCGTGATCCCTGATCTCCTAAGATGCATGTATCACTGACTTTTCTCTGGCATGCTCGAGCTCACTCGAAACTCGTGCTGCAGAGTCCAGGGTTTAAGCCGTATGTGGTGACCCACGTCGCAGGACCCTCCGGGGCAAGGCCTCCAACAAGTCTGCCACCAGCTTCAAGGCCTCAGAGCCGGGAGGCGATGTCCCCAAACATCTGGTTCCGTCTGCACTACCAAAGCCACAAGGAAGGGGCCGGTTGAAGCAGTCCAAGTCGATCTGAAGGTTCCGTGCCAGCACCGGCTGGGCCTGTGGTGTCGGTGACGGATGGTGAGATGGGGGACGCTGCGCGTAGGGCCTAAGGCCTAAGGCCTTCGGCCCAAAGAATGAATGTTGCGCAATCTCATGCACGGATGACGCGAACTTCGAGGTAGGGCCTTGTCGCTTTTTCGAGCCTGACTGGAAGATTGCAGAGCCTCGGCAAGGTCGGACATGGCGGATTTTGGGAGATCCTGCCAAAAAGCCTGCGCTGAGCATCGAACCAACATCGGCCAGCCAGGCCACTGCTCGACCTGCGCGGCCGAAGTCGTGCGCCGCCGCACCTGCAGATTACGACAGTAGGGTTTACCGGCCTGCCGTCAAAAGCCCAAAGAGCGACAAGCCTGCTGCACCTCCCAGCAGCAGTGCAGGGTCCTGGCACGACCACGGAGGGCGGCAAGACTGAAGGTTGAGCGTTGTTGCTTTGGAACTCTCTTTCGTTTTGGCATCTCTTGCGCGTGCCCTCTGTGCAGTGCAGTCTGAAGCTCAAGCATTTACGAAGCTAGAGCGTCGGTCGGCTTCCGAACTGAGCTGGCTGCTGCATCGCAAAGGACCTCTGCGAACCTGCGGCTTGACGCAAGGATTTCACATATATCAGGTCGGAGGCCAGTAAGGTCTGCGCAGATCAAGCTCCATGCTGAGCTAGGGAAACATGTGCAGGGAGTTGGGGCATGCTGCCCCGACAGTGAAGTCCACCGTAGATATCGCTACCACTTGCTGACTTGGCATTCATCTGCTAGTGTGGCATGGAGCTGCGAGCCAATGTTGGGGCTCTACCGCACTAGCTTTGGATATTGTTGCCCAACAGCGCTTCCAGCAGCTTGCAGTTGTCGAGTTGCAAGAACCTGTGTGCGGCCCGGTTTTGCCACATCAGCACCGGGAGCTGCGTGCAGGCCAGCAGGGGCTACCTGTACGGTGTGGGCACAAGTTTGCTCCAAAAACAGGTCACACCAGCACTCCGGCACTGACGCGTCCGCCTCTTTTTCTTCTTGCCCTTAGTTGGCTCTTCTGCCACAGCAGCCTTGAGCATGGCGTGGCCTGTTGCCTGAGCTCTTTTGTGCCCGAACACCGGCTTCGAAGGCATCGATGGATGAGTGGGCCATGGTGTAGAAAAGAATACGTGAGCTCACTCCCGTGCCTTAATGTGCTTGAACATTGCTGACCGGCTGGAGAAGTCCTCCAACCAAGGTGATGCTTCTCGAAAACTTCTGCAACAGACTAGCCGCTCTGCGCGTCTTCCAGACCTCAGATATGAATATATATATATATATATATGTATATATGCTCGCCCCCCCCC